GAGAGCACAAGCAGGGGGGAGGGGCAGAGGGAGAGGGAGAAGCAAGGCTCCCCGCTGAGCAGGGAGCCCCATGCGGGGCTCGATCCCAGGACCCCGGGATCATGACCTGAGCCAAAGGCAGATGCTTCACCGACTGAGCCTCCCAGGTGCCCCAAAATCCTTTCTTTTAACATAAAGTATATTTGTAGTCTATTCTGCCATAAGAATTATTGTATTCTGTGTGTATTATACACACACACATATATTTGATAGAATTGAGATCATACTTCATACAGTTGTGTATTCTGCCATTTTTACTTAGCATTTAGATCATCAGCATTTTTCTGTGGTATCATCAATTCTTTGAAAATCTCACATTTTAACCTGTATTATGGATGTACCAAAAGAATATTTAACCATTAGTCCATTATTGCTCATTTGGGGTGTTTTACATCTTTTACGTTACTTCATAATTCATGAAGAGTTTGTAAATAAATCTTAACTTTTTTCAGTTATATTTTTGGCATAGTCTTAGAACTGGAATTGTACTAGTTTTTACTGTCAGAGGGTATCTGTATTTTTAAGACTCAACACATGCTGCCAAATTGCTTTCCAGAAACATTGGGCAGTTTATGCACCTGTATATCATCTTATATTTACACACCTGATCTATGAGAGGGTCTGTCTCACTACATACAGTCTTGCAGCTTTGAGTATTATACTTATTTTAATATTTGTGTTTTTATATCAAAACTGGCATTTCATTATCATTTTTATGTTAATTTCTGTTCTAGTATGGCAGAACATTTTTCACAGGTCTGTAAACTTTTACTTTCTGTCCTTTCTAAAAATGTTTTTGCTAAATTTTCTGTTGCTGTATCAAGCAAACCAAATACCATGAACAGGTAGCATTCAACCCTGGAAAGCAACTAACATTTCCTATTGGTAATTTATTTATTGTAGTAGAGCAAATGAGTAGGAAAAAAATCATCTATATATAATAAGATCATCTTATTAAATGCTAAAGATATTGTATGAAAACAGTTCTTAGGAAACTGTAAGTAGGATATTTCTCTTTTTTTCCTTTTTTTTTAAATTTTAATTCTAGTATAACTGATGTATCATGTTATATTAGTTTGAGGTATACAATATAGTGATTCAACAATTCTATACATTACTCAGTGCTCATCAGGATAAGTGTGCTCTTAATCCCCTTCACCTATTTCACCCATCCCCCCACCCATCTCTCCTCTGGTGACCATATGTTCTCTGTAGTTAAGAGTCTGTTTTTTGTTTTGGTTTGCCTCTTTTTTCTTTGTTTGTTTGTTTTGTTTCTTAAATTCCACGTATGAGTGAAATCATATGGTTTTTGTCTTTCTCTGACTTATTTCATTAGCATTACACCCTCTAGATCCATCTATGTTGTTGCAAGATTTCATTCTTTTTACGGCTGAATAATATTCCACTGTGTATATGTACCACATCTTCTTTACCCATTCATCTAGCAGTGGGCACTTAGATTGCGTCCAATTTGGCTATTGTAAATAATGCTGCAGTAAACATAGGGGTGCATATGTCTTTTTGAATTCGTGTTTTCATGATTCCACAATCATTTCTTGAGTAACTAATCTGATTCACAGTACCAGGCACAAGAGTAAATGCAAGAGCCAACATCCCTGTCCTTGTGTTACTTACATTCAAGAAGACATTCAGTGATTATATTCTCACACAAGTATAAATATGTGAGTTCGGTCATAAGCAAGCATATGTACATACCTTTTTCTGGGATGGACACCCAGAAGTGGAATTGCTGGGCAGTGTGTATTATGCCAAACTGTTTTCCATGGGGTGCTACCATTTGACTCTCTGACCGGTGGTGTGTGAGAGATTCTGTTACTTCCCATGAACACTTAGTTTTGTCAGTTTTGTGATGGCACCTCATTATAGATTTAATTTGTAATTTCTTGATTACCATTGAGGATGGACATCCCCCCACCCCCCAATTTGGATTTCCTCTTTCGTGAGTTTCTATTCAAGTCCTTTGCCAGTTTTTCTGTTGTTTATCTTCGTGCAGATACTTGATGTGTTCTGGATTCTAGGCAGATTTCTTGATTATGTGTTAAAGACATCCAGTCACTAACACAGCTACAGACTTTCAGACATAACTCTAAAACTCCTCTCAAAATGGTCAAGCAGATCCGATAAAATTTTCGTTTCCATCCTTTTCTTGGAGACCTGCTGCCTGCTTTCCGCCCCAGCGATGTTGTGCTCGGGTTCTCCTGTCCAGCTGCAGCATCTTCTTAGGAATCTCCTTCATGTGGTTCCTTTGGTTGATATTGCCTCCTGTGTCTTCCTCTTTCTTGGTTCACTGCTTCACGTTGGCGGGAGCATAGAAAAGGGTATGAGTGAGGTGTATTTCATTTTAATTTTCAATTTATAGATAAACCAGCTTAGGAAGATTTTTACTTGCTCACGGTCACACATTCAGAAATTCATAGAGCCAGGACTCACACCAGGCAGTGTGATGATAAAGCCCATGCCCATGTTTGTAATCATCAGGCCTAACTACTGTACCCCTTCACTAAATGTTCCCACAGTTTCTTACTCACTGCCTGAAAACATCTGGCCATATCCACAAACCTGGAGACTTCACCGTTTACTTTCTCTCTCAAAATCACTTCTGATGTCATATCAGTCTTTGTTTCACCAATGATAGAACTAAGGATCCGTCTTAGTAACAAGGTGATTAACAGTTGACATCCTTAAAAATATCTTGGAAAGACCATATTAGTTTTTGAAAAGACACACGATAACCATGAAAAGGGTTTAAACTACCCCCATTCAAAACTCTTAGTCTCCTTTGAAAGAAGTGAAGATCAGGGTGAAGGTGAGGAAACAGAAGGGACCTCACTGTGTATCACACGGTATATGACCATGTGGAAATGGAAGCGAGGTGTTAATTGGACTTACATCCAGTGCTCACTTGCCTTTGGCTGACAGAAGAATGGGCCATTTACACTTCCCTGTGTTCAGGGAAAAGGGCATCTTATGGTAAACATTTGGCCATATGCTATTATGCACTTCTTAAAACTAGACAAATCAGGGGCGCGTGGGTGGCTCAGTCATTAAGCGTCTGCCTTCGGCTCAGGTCATGATCCCAGGGTCCTGGGATCGAGCCCTGCACTGGGCTCCCCGCTCAGCGGGAAGCTTGCTTCTCTGTCTCCCACTCCCCCTGCTTGTGTTCCCTCTCTCGCTGTGTCTCTCTCTGTCAAATAAATAAATAAAATCTTAAAAAAAAAAAAAAAAACCTAGACAAATCAATTCCTAAATGTTGTTGAACCACCTGCTAAGTGCTAGGAATGAGGCTAAGTACTTTCATATATATTATTTCTTTTTTTCTTCTCTTTTTTTTTTAAATTCTTCTTAAACCAGTAAACAGTAAAACTAGGTATGATTATCCCACTTTATGGATAAGAAAACTAAGATGTTGAGAGACAGTTTCTCAGGTGATTTTCACACAAATCCCAGCCTAAGAATCATTGTCTTAAATGATGATTACATATTTGTGTAGGTCCTGATTGTGGGTTATTTGCATATACAATATCTCACTGGACCCTTAAACCCTCTCTGTGAGGGAGGCCAAGCAGGGCTTGAGAGGAAAAATCGTTGGCCCAGTAAGTCACTCAGCCAGGCCTTGAAGTCTTCAGGTTAGAAACTCCATGCTTTCAGCTTTCACTTGGATAAACCTAAAGCAAGATTTCAAATGAGCAGGTTTTCCAGCAACTTTTTGTTGAATAGTGCCATCCAAAATAGTGCAGGCACAATGGAAGTTCCTTTGGAAAAGCTTTTTAAACTCTTTTACATATTTTGAAAAGAATGCCGCGATAGAGCTATAAATAACGTCTCGACTTTTTGTTTCTTTCATCACTTTACCTTCCCCTTCCCTGCCCTAAATGCCCCTGAAATTTGGCTCAAGCAAGTCTTTGCTCTATCTTTTTTTCATGGAGTTAACCTTGAAGAGTACTGGTAAAGGAGACTATGAATTACTGTTATTTTTAGCTGACAGGGAGTTCAGAGTTGATATTTTTCATTAAGACATTCAGCATTGTTGAATATCTGAGACAGGAGGGATAACCTTGGAGCACTTTTAACTTCTGCAGATCCTTCCAACATGTTTTCCAAATGACCAAATTCCTATTAGCCACTGCTATATAGCCCTCCCATCTAACCCATAGGTGACATGATCTGGCTGAATTAAGTAACAAGACAATAGAATTGCGACACCAAATGAGAGAAGATGTGAAAGGAATTTCATGGCTGAATATAAGTAAAGAGCAGAAGCAATGAACAGTAACAGTTGGGTAGTGTGTTAAAGGCAAGAACTATTTTTATCTCTGGACAGTGTAAAATTCATGTTAGATTTTGTGTATTTCCAAGCCCGACCATCCTTACTGAGCTCCAAACTAGTGCATTCATTTGCCTACCTGGCAATCCCACAAATGTTGATGAAGGTTAAATCAGAATTCAAAATCAAACACAAAATGAACTCTTTCTTCTGCAGTCTTCCTTATCTCAGTAAATGACATCAATATCTACTGGATTTCTTAAGCCAAAAAAAGAAGAAGAGGAATAATGAGTGCAGGTTGGAATAGGGGTAGGAAATTACAAGTCCAAAGAGCACAGTCAGAGAAGGCCTCTCTGAGAAGGTGCATCTGAGCTAAGACTTGAAGAAGGTAGAGTGTTCCAGGCAAAGAGACCATAGGGGTGGGATGGGGGCATGTCTGTGTT